ATAAGCGGGAGTACGTTGAAGCTGCGGAGAGTTTGCGCGTTGCGTACTGGGACTGGGCCGCGGACTCCCAGGTTCCGTCCGTGACGGCGATGCCGACAGTTGTCATCAAGAGGCCTGTGGGCGGCGCCTTGCAGCCACTCGCGGTGCGAAACCCATTCTACCGTTTTACTTATCCGAAAACGGCTCTCAATGGAAGATTCGGCAGCTTTGATGGAAAGGATTACACGAAGCGGTGTGTTGGAGACGGCGAAAGCTACCCCGACACGGCGAACGCGAGGCTCAAGGGATACGGCTTGAAGGAAAAGGTTGTAAGTTGATGAACACAATTCCAAAGAGCAAGCTTGTGGCGTTTCGAGTTGGTTGTCTTTACTGATTAGCCGCAGTATAATGTCTTCTTGAAGGCAACCTCCTTCGATGAGATGGTCACTGCCCAGAATGAAGGCGCCAACTTTGAAGGGCCTCATGGAGAAGTCCATGTCGGGGCCGCCTGCGGCCAGGATCTCCTCCATCTATCAACCTCGGCATTCGAACCACTATTGTAAGTTCTTCCTCACCCTTGTGACGCCATGTCTGATTCGTCTCCCAAGCTGGCTTCATCATGCCAATGTAGATCGCCTCATTGCCTTCTGGCAAGCTCTTCACTTCGAAAATGCCACAATGCATTTCTCCTATGCCTCATCCCAGATGTTCGCCACGCCATCCGGGACCACCATCAACCCGCAGTACCCCTTGTGGCCCTTTACTGGGACGGGCGGTGGTCCGCTTACCAGCGAATCGGTCACGCACGTCCGTGACTGGGGGTATACGTATGCACCGATGAGGTTCTGGGATCAGACACCAGGAGACGTTAAGATGGCGGTCAGTAGGACGGTAAATAGCATCTACGGTCCTCAGAAGCAGCAATCTTCTTCCATGAGGGGCAAGCGGCGCAAGATGGTCCCGATAAGGCAGTATGTCGCCAAAGTCGAAGTTGAGAGAAACGAGCTGGACTTGCCTTGCCAAGTGCAGCTTTTCTTGAAAGGCTCGATGGCGGGCTCTTTGACGTTACTGGATATGCCCAGGCAGGGGAAAAGCTATGATGAGATTCCTCTGAATCGAGGTATCGACGCTGCTGGCCTGCGTGGTCTCTCAGTAAGCGGGATTCTTGGAGGGATTGCGGATGGGCTGGAAGTGGTCATTGACAAGGTGAGTACAACCATCGCACTTAATCCCCATATGACGCGTAGTTTCAACGCCATGTGAGACTGATAAGCTTCTCGACAGTTGGATGGCACAGCTACGCCGTTGGAACGTGTCCCAAGTTTGAAAATTGAAGTTGAAGACCAAGAGATCGTTCCATCGGACTCTACGGACCAACTTCCGACGCTGGGTACTAGGCGGAGTCGGCCCGCAATGCTACGACCTCTGTCAGTTGACTACTAGATGGCTGATTTGATTGCTAAGAGAAGTCTTTTTCTTGCGCACACACATATATATGTTCGTAATCTTCGGGTCAATGTTTCTCATGAGTGAAAGGGATGCCGGTACTTCTGCTTGCCGCTTTCGGTCCGGCGTTTGGTAACAATACGAGGCGCATTTTGTACTTAGATAGGGAAGTGATAGTGAAGTATACACCAACAAGCCCTGTCAAATGGTTCGGGTTTGAGACATGCTCTGCCGTTTTGTATTCATGTGCCTGAATGATCTGTCAGATGACATTGGGATTTCCGCCCGCTTGGGGGTTGTATGCGACACATCTGCTCGTTTTAAGAAGCACGATGTGCACATAGGCAATGCGGAACGTCGGACGTGAGAATAAGTCAAATATGGTCACCTAAACACAAGAACACTAAGCCCTGGTACAACGAGACCCAAAACCAGGGCGAACGAGCGAGGTTGTACTTAACGGCCCGAAAGGCGCGTCTGATGTGTCTTACGGGCGCTTAAGTAGACGTCAGTCGGCGAGGGTGGTGATATTCTTGCACGTATGACTGGAGACTAGGGCTGCGGCATGAAGGTCCTTGTTCATATCAAGGTCAAGACCAGTCAAATTCTAGTTGGAGACGAGAAGATCGCCACACGGAGGCGATAATGGGACTAATAGCTATCTACACATCCTGTCCACCCATAAGCCACAGCGCGCCACAACTCGCCTGAAGCAGCATGCCACAGACGAGAAACACCTTACCCGCCTGTCCATCGCTGCTGAACATCAAGCTAACAACCACAAAGACATTGAGCGGGATTCTCAGGACGCCGTACACCTGTGCCCTGACACCGTCATCGACGACTTTCCCCTTGAGGTATCCCATCGAGGGGAAATACAGCCCGACGCAGGCTTCGAACAGGCAGAAGAGCCAAAAGGTGACTTGCTCCGCGCGAGGAGCACCCGTTCCGAGAGCGAAGAACACGGCGTTGGCGGCGAACAGGACCGATAGCAGCAGCCGGGATGGCGTGGAGACGAGGGCGAGCAGGCGGGGGTACAGAAGAGAGGCGAGGAGGGTCGAGGCCATAAAGGAGGCGAAGATGATGCCGTATGGCAGTGTCTCGGGTGAGGATGAGGCCGAGACGAGAACCGGGGACCAGAGTACTACAAAGAGATACATTGAACCTTCAAACATGGTCGAGGCGAGGCCGATTGTGAGAACGCGCTTGTCCGTCATTGTGGCCCAAAGACTAGGTTTGTTGACGTTGGACTTTTCCGATGAAGAGGCTTGACCTGCCGAGCCGTAGTTCTCGTCCTTCACACCCAGTCAGTAAGAAATTAGCAATAGTATACGATTTGATGTTGCAACGTACCCATTGACTGGCAATAACACCAGCAGCAACGACCAGCAGCCCGACACTAGCCAAAAATGGTGACTTGCGCGTCCCAGTCACGGAGACGAGCCATTCGCTCACAACACCGCTCACAATCGCGACAATGCTGTTGACAGTGCTCATCAGGCCAAACGTCCGCGAAAGGTCCATGCCCTTCTCGCTCAGACGACGGGCATGGAAATCCGTCACCATCCAGCTCTCAAAGACGCTGAACAGGAGACTAGTTCCCAGACCGCCGAGTACGCGGCCGATGAAGAGCAACGGGACACTGGGTATCGTGGTGAGAATGCAGGAGAGCGCGTATGCGGCGCAGAAGAAGAGGCAGCTGGCCTTGCGGCCGTGGCGGTCGGCTAGTGAACCGATGAAGTAGCCGGCCACGGCGCCGGAGACGAAGCCGGTTGTGAAGAGCGTCGGCACGAAGTCTGCCGAGATTTGATGCTCATTCTTGTAAAGAGAGTAGAGGAATGGCCCCTAGTGTTGCCATGTCAGGAGGTTCGATCCTTAGATTCAGAGATTGCATGTGAGGGGCTAGCTACCTGTAGCCAGTCTGAACCCATTACGAGGGCGTAGACGACGTAGAAGGCCCATTGAGAGCCTGTCTGCTTTGACTTCTGTTGTGAACTCTTCTTCTCATCTTTCTTGGAGACATCAGACTTGTCTTGGCCTCCCGAAGCGAAGAGAACGCCGCAGGCGAGGAGAAGGCCGGCGAGGTTGATCTGGTAGATGTCTAGCATCGTGGAGGATACCTAGCGGGTGACTGGGTCTTAGATTCTCAATCTTTGTACGGACTACACTGGCAGACACGTCGAGTGAGGGATACTAAGGAGGGTATGAAATGAAGCCAGCTTCGATGTGAGATTGTGGTAAGAGTCGAGATTAAGAGCGAAAGCCCCGTGAGGTGGAGTTGAAATCGTTAAACTTCGAAGTTCCAGGTGTCCTTCTCCATCTTGCACGGGGTGATTTTCCGGGGGCTAAGCTGGAGCATTGAGTGTTTCGGGCGCACAACCTCCAAAGGGGCTCTTCCAAACGTCTCGTTTTAGTTCATTGAGTTCGTCTGATGTTCGTGAGCCTGGTGTTCGGACGATTTTTCTCTCTCTCGTGTGGACTTGTAAACTCATGTAAATCCATTGTCATATTGTCAGTCTGACTACGTGGACTGAGTCATATTGAGCCACTTACAAAACGTAGAGGGGGATGAGAGAAAGCTGCCAGAAGCTGCGAACGAGACAAGAAAGCGACCTAGACAGGAGTGTCCGGGGCCGTGCTATCCCTGTAACTGACACGAGCTAGGGGCCTCACAGTGTGCGGACCCTCAGGAAGATCACTCCGTAGCTTCAAACAAAATGGTTTCCGGAAACAGTCTATAAAAACCTCGCGTATTTTACCATCTTCCAGACCTGGGGTCATGAGGATGCAATAAAAGCACCCAGTTTCACTTCACCCTAGTGATATATCAGTCCTTGCTTTCCTGGTTTGCCTCGCGAGCCTGACCTCCTATCACTTGTCATCCTTTTCATATCGCTTAGATATGTAAGACTTCGGTCTCAACCCTTTGTTGGCTTCGGCTGTATCAACTCATCGAACAAGTGCCGTCCAGTATCCCGGACGGACCCAATGATGAAGAATCTACGGAATCAATCAATTCGATGTACAGCGCTGCATTTGACGTCCGGCAGAGAAAACCAAGCAAGCATGCGTAGTAGGGAGATTGAAAAAGAAGGCACGGTCAGTTGTGCCATATCTCATCCATTTAGCCCCCAAGAGCCGTGCCCATATTCTGGCTTGATCCAAACGATGCAATGGAGCTAACCACTCTATGTAACGTTCATTTTATTCCCGTGATCTTCCACGCAGGATCGTCGAACCTAGTACCACCTACCGCATAGAGCTCTTGTGCGGGGTCGTGAACTAAACTTTGCTAATCAAGTCGGACGACGTTGCGGCCGGGATTGCCGTGCGGTCATTATGCATGAGGCAAGGCGATGGAAGTAAATGAAAATGAGCTTTTCGGAGACTCGGTCGGTGATCCAGCTTCAACTCTGACACGAACTGCGTAGCTTCGGGTTGGGGTTCAGCCTCTTCTCGCCGGATAACACCCAACGAGCAGACTCTCCTTCTCTCAGGTACTACTTGAGCATCGAATGCCGTTCTAGAAGCAGTTCGTCCATTTCCTCCCAGCGTGCTCTCGTCGCATGTAAACCATGCGCTTCCTCGTACCGCTCATTGCCTTCGTAGTGGCGGGATGTTGCCAATCGTTTGATCCATTAGCCTTTGTTGACCCTTTAATCGGTTCCCAACGCGGCGGGAACGTATTTGCCGGTGCGACACTACCATACGGCCTCGCCAAGGCCGTAGCCGATGTCGACGGGGAAAAGACTGGAGGTTACTCGACCGACGGGAGCAACATCACCGGCTTCAGTATCGTCCACGACAGCGGCACCGGCGGAAACCCCAGCCTGGGCAACTTCCCGCTCTTCCCTCAGCTCTGCCCCGGCGACGAGCTTAACAACTGTAGATTTCGTATCGGGGACCGGGCGACGCAGCATGACGTGAACAAGACCGTCGCCGAGCCGGGCTACTTCTCCGTCGAGCTGTCGTCTGGCGTGAAGGCGGACATGACGGTATCTGAGCACGCGGCGCTCATGCGGTTCAAGTTCCCGAGCGGCGGAAGCGAGCATCCGCTCGTGCTGTTGGACTTGACAGATCTTTGGGCGAGCAGGCAAAACGCGTCGATCAAGGTCGACACGCCCACAGGGCGAATGTTTGGGAACGGGACATTCCTGCCTAGCTTCGGTGCTGGGTCGTACGTGCTTCACTACTGCGTCGACTTCTTTGGCGCCCAGGTCTTTGATACTGGGGTATGGGTCAATAACAGAGCCGGTAACGAGCCCAAGGAGCTGTTCATCACGAGAGGCTTCAACCTGTTTTACCTCGAGGGCGGCGGCTTCGTGCGCTTCAAAGAGCTGACCAACGACACTGTCACTGCCAGAGTGGGAGTCTCGTTCAAGAGCAGTGATCAGGCATGTCGCAACGCAGAGAAGGAGATACCGGATCCGCTGAACAACTTTGATTCGCTGGTGAAGACAGCAAAGGACGCTTGGAGAGAGAAACTGAGCCCCGTTTCAGTCAAGGCAGCTGGCGCAACGGAAGACTTGCAAAAGAGTTTCTGGAGCGGCTTATACCGTAACATGATTTCTCCTCAGAATTACACTGGTGAGAATCCGCATTGGGATAGTCGGATCCCTTACTTTGATTCGTTCTACTGGCAAGTATCCATTTCATGTCTCCAGCTCTCCTTTTCTAATAGTGTGCAGCATGTGGGACAGCTTTCGTGCCCAACACCCCCTGCTTACCGTTATCGATTCAGCAGCTCAAGCGCAAATGATAAACTCCATGCTCGACATCTACAAGCACGAAGGCTGGCTGCCAGACTGTCGCATGTCTCTCTGCAAAGGCTGGACTCAAGGAGGCTCCAACGCCGATGTCGTAATCGTTGACTCCTACGTCAAAAACCTAACCTCGATAGACTGGAAGGTGGCTCTCGCGGCCATAACGAAAGATGCCGAGGACGAACCCCTGGAGTGGTCTTATGAGGGACGCGGCGGCCTCACAAGCTGGAAGACCCTCAACTACATCCCGTATCTAGACTTTGACCCAGTTGGATTTGGTACAAACTCAAGAAGCATCACGAGGACTTTGGAATACTCTTACAACGACTACTGCCTTGCAACCCTAGCTCAGGGGCTAGGGGAGGGTCAGTCACACGACAAATACATTGCAAGAAGTATGAACTGGCAGAATCTGTGGAAAGAGGACCAAAGGTCTTTGATCAATGGCACCGACACTGGATTCTCTGGCTTCTTCCAGCCCAAGTACATGAATGGAACATGGGGCTTCCAAGATCCCATAGCTTGCTCGAATCTCGCCGGGTTCTGCTCCCTGACGACAAATCCGAGCGAAACGTTCGAGGCGAGCATCTGGCAGTATCAATTGTTAGTACACTCCAACTTCTTGCGACTGCGGTCTAGCTAATCTGTCTCCAGCATCGTTCCCCACTCCACATCAACCCTCATCGATCTCATGGGCGGCGATGACGCCTTCGTGTCCCGCCTCAATTACTTCCATGCGTCGCCACTAGCCGACATCTCCAATGAGCCCGTGTTTTTGACCGTCTATCTCTACCACTACGCCGGTCGGCCAGGCCTCTCAGCGGAACGCATCCACAAATACATCCCCTCGGCCTTCAACTCTTCGCGTGGCGGGTTGCCGGGTAATGACGACTCGGGCGCCATGGGGGCTTTTCTTGCCTTCTCCGTCATGGGCCTATTCCCAGTCGCGGGGCAAAATGTGTATCTCATCACGCCGCCGTTCTTTGAGGAAGTTAGTGTCAAAAATCCGGTGACGGGAGGGAATGCCACTATCAAATGTGTCGGGTTTGACGCTGCGTACAAGAACATCTACGTGCAGAGTGCCAAGCTGGACGGGGAGGCGTATACCAAGAGTTGGATCGGACATGAATTCTTCAGTCAGGGCAAGACGTTAGAGTTGACGCTGGGAGACAAGGAGTCCGACTGGGGGAAGAGTAAAGAGGCAAGGCCGCCGAGTTATGTGGCTGTATCGAAGACGTGAGAGTGTGGAGCCGCGCGTGGTATTCGCAGACGTATACTCAGATGCTCATGTTCCGCAGTATTCTCACATGGAATACAACACCATAGCCATCGAGACTCTGTATTCAATTCAATCGGCAACGTTGAGGCAAGAAGAACCACCTGATGTGTATATGACCTAGTGGTGGAAAGTAATGCCTGGTTTCGGCAAGAGCGCGAGTTCGAATTTGTTGGTCCTACAAAAGGCCACAAGCAGCTTCTTTTTTGGACTTCTTTTGGTCTCTTCTTTTACGATTCTCTTTTCCTTACTATCTGCTTCCATGCGTTCTTCTCACCGTCAATCTAGCTACCGCATGCCCGCGGCGTCATGCTCCCAAAACCTCTTGACTCCAAGTCTCGTTCTCGTAGCTCACGCTGCTCTTTGGCGTACTTGCGGTCGATAAAATTAGCACTGTCGTATAGATCGACGGCCTTTGGATCGACGGCGCTGCCGATCGCGTGTTCCTCCTCACTGGCGAACAAGAAGAAGGTGCCGCCGGGGGCATCATCGCAGCTCATGTGGTGAACCACGATGTTTTCTGCGTCGGCGCAGAAGACTCTCTCGGCAGCTTTTACATTTCGAGCGGCAAGAAGAGCGACTGCCGCGGCTCGTAGGCCGGGCAGGGTATTATGTTGTCTTTTCATTTTGGTGTGTGATGTTTGTTATTTTGGAGTGCTCTTCCCAGGAAGAGTGAAAGGTTCGTTGGTTTTTGGTGTGTAAAGGAGACAGCTTAGGACTCTTTTGGCGAACAAATTGAGTACGATTGACGACGATTCATGGCTAGAAAGATGAGTTACAAGAAGCTGAGTGGTGAATGGACGGCATTTTAAAGGAAGTCACATTCACCTCCCGGTGTAATTCTCAGATATCCCCTTGATGAGGATCATGTGCTCAAGTGAAGCTAAATAGCGACGAATACGCTTCCGCGGTCATATCATTGATGTGACGCCGAGTGAGGCAGTTTACTATACCTCACCTTAGCCAGGTGTGATCACACGAAATACTAAGTAAACGGCCAGACTATTGTCAAAATAGTGTCTTTTTTGACATGATATCCTGTCTTGAAGCCGTTTTCTGTAACCTGTATTTGGTGACCATAATCGCTTCAAGCGGACTCCATCCAGGAGTCATACCTGGGGAAAACTCCCTGTGTAACCGCAAGCCCATACCTTCCCATCCCGTCCGACCAGTGTCGCCTTCGAATGACCCCATTCCCAAAAAATGCTGCCTTCACACAATAATCAAATCGTCGTCTTCGTCATCTTCAAAAGAAACCGCCTGCGGCAGGTCCATACCCAGACTCTCCCTCCCAGCCTCGCGAATCCCCTTCTCCGTCACGAATCTCGTCTTCTTCCTCACCGGCGGCTTATCGCTATTCAGCTTTTCACCTTCTTTCATCTTGGCGAGCTTGTCCTTGAGATTGCCGCCCCATCCAAAACCGGTCTTTAGCCCTGTCGTGGCCGTCGCCGACGACGGCGCCCCGATCGAGGAGCTAGACTGCGCGCTCTGCGGTCTCTTTCGTTTGATCGGGCTGAGGTGAAGAGCTAGTTCCCTATTCCTGGGCATAATGCCTAAGCTCTTGATATCAGGCTTCTGTCGCGCCCCGAGTACGTTCGAAGCTGACGAGGATGACGGCAAACTTGACGCGGACGTAGGGTTACGATTGCGGTCTGTTTGTTGCATGTACTCCTTTCCAGTGCCGGCGCCGATTTTACTCAGCCGCGACATGATGCCCCTCTCGCGTTCTTGGGCAATCATCCTTCTTTTTAGATTCTCTTCCTTTTCTCTCCTGTCCATAAGAGCCTGGCCTCCGTCAATGAGTGACGCAGAACTCATTGATTTCGTAGCGAACCAATGGCTGTGTGTTTCTCGGTCGTACTTTCCCGATTTCTTCTCGGGCTGTGGGTTAACGAGCTGTCTCGATTTCCACTTGAACTTCTCTCCAACACCGCCAAAGTCCATTGTGTTGACCTCCATGCGACTTGCTCGCTGCTTGGAGACAGCTTCGTTAGTATGAAATTCGCAAAACTCGGTTCGTTTCTTGTTGACCCAAGAGTTGCAGAACTCGCCATCTTTCTTGATGGATTTGCAGAATCCCAAGTCCCGGGCCTTTCCAATCTCCATGATTGTGTCAGCATCAGAGTTGATCACGAGACTAAACTTCCCAGTGGCTTCTCTGCCAACTGGAGGTGGCATAATGGTCGGGTTCAGAATCGCCAGCACTGTGCCTTCTGTGAGCTTCCAAAATCGGGTAAATCCTGAGTTGAAGAGAAAAAGCTCAAGTTCCCACTTTAGATCGCATAATGTGACGACCATGTACTTCCCTCGGTCTGACTGCTTGCCATTTTGATCAGCCCGGGGCTTGTGAGAGCGGGGTTCTGACTTCTTTGCAATAACGGCGAAGACGACAATGTCTTGTTCAATGTCTGGGAGCTGAAACTCTGGAGCCTTAACCTTCCGCAGCAAGTCGGGCAACTTGAATATCTTCTTTCCAGACAGAGTCCTGGTCAAGACTTGGTGGGGAAGAATGCGCTGGGAGAGATGAAAGCTAGAATACGGTTCGAATGCCGATGCTTCGGCTTCCGCCACATCTGCTGGCGCGACCTTCTTCGGTCTTTGTGGTTTCTGTCCAGCCATCATCCAGTCCGGTGGAGGCTCGTAGAGACCTTGGGGGTCGTCGTCGTCTTTGGAGGATGATGGAGCTGGAAGAGCAGGTATTGCGTCTAGCTTGCGCTGGTTGGGTTCTGCTCTGCTCATTCCACCAAGGATCTCATCTCTGGAGAAACTCGGCGCAGCTTCCTCTTGCTCGGGAATGTCAATCGCCTTTTCCTTGAACTGCTCAATCTCTTTCTGCCCAATATCAAAAGTCTCCGACCTGACTTTTTGTACTCTTTCCCTCAATCCCTGTCGGTCGACCTCTTGTGTTCTTGCTGCGGCTAGCCTCTCATTGAAACTCAGTGGCCGTGATACCTCTTGTTGAGCAGGAGTCCGTGACCTTTGAAGATAACCGCCGAACTGCTGCTGCCCATCTTGGGGATTTGTATTCCTGCGCAGCACACTCGGTGCTCTCTTGATACCTTTATCAATCCCGAGCGCAACCCGGGTCGGCGATGCTTTTGGTGGTGCGGGCTGAGTCTTTCGGATTGGAGACACAGGCACCTCGATGGTGGCCTGGGGTTCAGGTCGGGAGAGCGCCCGGCCAACTCCAAAACCTTTCGAGGTTGGTCGCGTTTGAGTCGGTGGAGCTGCTTCCGTCCTCTCCCTTGCGCTCTGCAGTTTCTTCAACTTTAACCTTGCCTGAATCTCCTGCAACTTCAACTGAAGTGTCTCCTCGTCCTCGTCCTCCTGGTCGTCCATTTCGTCGATCAAATTCGCCGATCGTGTAGATAAGGTGGAGTTCGCTCGTCCCCTCTTTAACGGTGAAGGAGAGGGTGATCCTCGATTTTGAAGGCGTCTGAGGCGCTCGCGACCGCTCGGGGTGCTAATGAGGGCTTCGTGGGGAGATCGGGGAGGCCATTGAGGCTCGTCGGGCGGGGGGGCTACGTTGATGTTATGATGCTGATCGTTTAGGATGTCCATTCATTACGAACCAGGAGGCATCTCGCCGGGGTATCACAATGGTGTAGTCGAGGGCGTAGCTGTCGTATGTCCAGTCCGCCTTCCGGAAAAGACCGCTTAATGGAGCTTTAACGCCACAAGCCCATGACCCGCCAGCCGGCCTTGTCAGCTTCGTCCGGCGCAAGACTGGATTGAAAGTCGAGACGAGGGGTCTGTGCTGGCAAATAAACAGCAAGCGGACAAAGAAAAGGAGACGATAGCGACTGATGAGAAGGGTGTGAGGTGCGGCTAAAGGAGTGACGTCGAAGTTGGTGAGCCAAATGACCGCCTAAAACAAAATAAAGCAAGAGTGCGAATAGTGCGGTAAGAATGCCTCGAAATCGTTATCGAATTGTCGCATCTGAACCTCGTCGTCACGATAAGCCTGGTCAGACTAGCCTGAGAAGAGGAGTTTGACGTGGAGTAGTCGATGACTTTTCCCTGTTTCCATTGGCTGTAGTCGCGCCAAGCCCCAGACGACGCGATCCACTTTATATTTGAACCCGGCGCGTCGTCGCGTAAGAGCACAGCACAGACAGAAAGGGTCCTATTAACTTCTCAGTCCAAAGACGACCGATCTCAGAGGAAAGTACCAGGTATCTTCGTCCCACTCACTTTTGACCACCACCAGCTGGGCTGCTCCCATTCAGACTTCAACTCACCACCGATCTTTCTTAGACCTCTCACACAATCAAAAGCCGCTCTTTTTTGGGTCAATTGGTCTATTTTTTGGTGTAAATCACTCCTTGAACATCATCAACCTAACTCCTACACACATCATCTTCGTCATGGCGAGAACAAGAGCGACCAAGGCCGCACCGGCGGCAAAGACCGAGTCGAGCAATGCCTCTTCGACGGCCAAATTCACTCTACCCGAAGAGTCGTCAAGCGCTCCCCAGCTGTTCATAATTCCCCAAAAAGCTACCCGTGAGGCTCGCATCGTCTCTCTTCCCAACCCTCGCTACTCCAAGCCCACCCGCTACCTGCTTTGCCCGGAGACAGGCATCTACGAGTTCACAAAGGTTACTGCGCCGAAAACGACACCAAGGAGCTGGATGATTGAGACGACCGCTTGCACACTGGAGGAGACGGATAAAAAGGACGAATCTCGGCTTGAAGCCCAGGTCACCAATAGCGCCGACCTTTTTGTCGCGACAGCTGTGGATCCTCTGTTCCTACTGGTTCCAGGCCTATTTGGCACCGCGAAGCCAACAGACACGAAGCGACTATTCCTTTCCAGCGACGACCACTTCGATGCAGTCTCGACTTCGTCTTCTCACATGTCCGAAGCTCTGCGATGCCCCAAGACGAGGGCGCTCCTCGAGTCACGCATGGAGGTCGTGTGTGATACCGTCGATGCTGGCGATGAGAAGATGTACCGGCTG